TTCTAAATTGTCTGTAGGTGTGAATGTGAGTGTGCTTGGTTGTCTGTCTCTAAGTGTGGCCCTGTGATAGACTGGTGACCTGTCCAGGGTGTCCCCTACCTTCGCCTTAAGTCAGCTGGGATTCCAGCCCCTCCCGCGACCCTATTGAGGATTAAGCGGTGTATAGATAATAGATGGATGGATAAATGTTTTTTGCAGATTGTTACTTTTTCTTTTATTTATTATGGGAATGGCATATTTATTTATTTATTTAGTTCCCCTTTTTTTTTTTTAACCATAGACGGGCAAGTTACCATGTAGGGTACAACAACTTTTTTTTTTTTTTTTTTAAAGTCACAAAAGTAAAAAATATCTTGAAACATCCTTCAATAACACCCGAGGGTTGAAATTTTCATTTTCCAAATATTTCAAGGAGTGCTCTATGAAGGGTTTAAATCAACAAAAATCACTATTTTCCAAAAGCTTCCCAGCAGCGTGGAGTCTTTAGAAAATGATGTAGGTGATCATGAACTGCAACATCCTCAGTTCAAAATCAGGAAATTTGTCACATCTTTCTCTCCTATATTTCCTAGCATGTCAAATGTTATTTCAAGAAGTGTACAAGTTTGCAAGACACTCATGATCTCAGCGCTAGGCAGTGGTGTGGTTGGTACGTTATCAGCTTGTGTAACTCAGTGGAGGACTGTGAGCTCACTCATGATGTCAGTCTGAGGCTTTTGTGTTTCCTAACCTCTCCTGCCCTCTGTGTCCACTGTAGTGACAGTCCGCACTGTGAGCCCCCCCTTGTGGAAGAGCCAGCGCCTGACACCGTCTCTGTCACCCACAACAGCGAAGATGGTGCGTAACACACACATATAACTACGTGCACTGTGTGTGCTGAATGTTTCCTCCTGTCACTAGTTTATGAGATCTCATCCCGCTTTTCTGACCCGTCAATTTGCCTTTAATCTTTAAAACCAGCTCACATCTCACCCCCCAGTAACCTGTTAATTATGCTTTTGTTATGAGAGTGTTTAACTTTTGTGCAGTCACCATATGCAGCAGCACTAACCTGCTATGCACTAATCTGGCTCCTCTCTCTTCCACCTGTCTTTTCTCTCTGATTTGCTGCTGCTGCCTCCCGCTTCTCTGCCACTTCCCATCTCTGGCCGTTCTCTGAATCTCAGGCTCCTTGGCTGTTTCAGAGTCTGAGCCAGTCGAAGCCATCGCTCGGTTCGACTACACCGGCCGAACTGCTCGGGAGCTATCGTTCAAGAAAGGAGCGTCTCTGCTCCTGTTCCAGCGAGCCTCTGATGACTGGTGGGAGGGACGACACAACGGAGTGGACGGACTGGTGCCGCACCAGTACATTGTGGTCCAAGACATGTAAGATGTGTTCCAGTAACTAGTCCTGATAGAACAGACAGTATTGGGTCTCACTGTCATATTTCTGACCGTTCTAAATGTTGATTAGGATATTTTACTCCCTGAGCAAAGAGCCTTCTATCAAACAGAAAAATAGCAAAGATCAAACACTCGTTAATTCACTTGACCAAAAGTAAACAAGTTCACCGGAAATCCCAGGAAGTTGATCTGCTGTCATACAAACTTCATATCATAGTAAATCAATTTCCTTCCTGACTTAACTTGTTTTCAAGCAGTAGATATGTTAGCTGAAATTAGTGGGAGGGTTCTTCTGTACGGCTGCAAGGTGGCTCAGTGGTTAGCATCGTCGCCTCACAACTAGAAGATCCCCAGTTCGCATCCCGGTTAGGATGCCTGGGATCTTTCTGCATGGTGTTTTCATGTTCTCCCCATGCAGCGTGGGTTCTCTGGCTTCCTCCCACAGTCCAAAAACATGTTGAGGTTAATTGTGATTCTAAATTGTCTGTAGGTGTGAATGTGAGTGTGCTCGGTTGTCTGTCTCTAAGTGTAGCCCTGTGATAGACTGGTGACCTGTCCAGGATGTCCCCTGCCTTCACCCTAAGTCAGCTGGGATAGCCTCCAGACCCTAGAGAGGATTAAGCAGTGTATAGATAATGGATGGATGGGTTCTTCTGTAGCCAAGTAGTTACAAACTTTAAAAGTTTAGGTGCCCAAGTTTCCCAGTTGAATAATACAAAATGACAACGGCACTGAGACTTCACTTTTGGTGATTGCTCTGTAGATGTAGTTCAAATTCACAGACATACAAGGTAACACTCTCTGTCTAACTATGCTAATTGTCAGTGGTTTACTAAAACTCACGATAGATGTAGTGAGTAAAAGGTTATTAGTTTCAGCCATCATACATAAAAATATGAGCTTTACAACCAGGTTGACAAACACTGGAGTTACCCTTGAAGTTGCAGTTGCTTTTTTTCTGACTAAGACACTGTGTAGCTTTGAAAAGTGGAAAAACATATGGCAATTAGTGTTTCTGTTATTCATTTCGTACACAAAATACAGTTTTCATCATTGCCTATGCTTCTTTATGCCAATTTAGTGTTGCTCATGTGGACGGTGGAGTGAAAAGTCTGTGCAGTAATTGCTAATTATAAAGTGACATTAAACAAAGCGTTTCTTGCAGATGTGATGTGTCAGATTGGGATCTAGTCCTGTCTCTGTTGGTTTGGTGCAAGACAAATGATTTCTGAACTGTTATTGGAATGTTTCAGGTCTGATGTGGGACGGGGAAGTCCAAAGCCTGATGTGGACAGCAGGGACCTGCTGGAGGAGAGGGTGTCCACTCGAGGCAGCGCTGCCTCTCCCACAGGAGCTCACGTGGCTGACATCTATCTGGCCAACCTGAATAAGTATGTTCTCTAGCATGTAGAGGTTCAGTTGAAATTGTAGTTTTCAGTTGTTGGCATTAATCATTTTAGTTTTCAGTGGGATATTAACAATGCAACATTAGCTGCGCTCATGCTAAAATGGGTTAAAACAGATTTTGAAATCGGGTTGCGATCATGCACATGAGGACATACACTGAAAATAATGGCATATCACACACTATTATCATGTCTGAGAGAGCACTTAAGGAGCAGTGCATCACCTCAGTGATTTCATTTAAGCAGATGTAAACAAATTTAACATCATCAATAATACTTTACATCATAGAGGTGTACCGGTGCATCACCTACCTCTTAAAATGTCCCAGTGAAGATAATCTGGTGTCGTAGTGTGAATGCATCCTTGTATTTGTCCAGTGTATGTTTTTGTCATGTAATTTTCAGTTTTGCTCCAGGTGCTTCAATTATAATCACACCTATCCAGACTTAAACTAGTAAATATCAATCCTGTTTAATATTAATTTGTAGCGGCTCTGATGAGGGAGGTTTAGGACTGGAACTGTCACTCCTTCACATTACCGGTTCTCACCAAGATCACAAAGCAGAGTCCTTCTCAGATTCTTCAATGATTTACAGCAATGCAGTAGAAATACTTGCAAAATATAACTAAAGTATTTCTCTCACTCAGGTTAAGAAAACGGCCTGAGCCCGGGAACATCCGAAGACCGTTCCGCTCAGAGAGCGACACTACAAGTCCAGGACCCAGCGGAGGGGGAGGAGGGGTGAGAACGGCTTCTCTCCCTGTAGGCAGTGCTCTGATAAAAGAAGCAGGAGACAAACGACCCGTCAGTGCTCACAGCATCCTCAACTCAGTCACTCGCCACTCCTCACTCAAGACCAAGGTACTGTAACTGCTGCAGCTGCTTGTCGTTGCTAGTTAGTCATCTATTCAATTCAATTCAATTCAATTCAGTTTATTATTATTTATTTCATCTATTGTTGTTACATTTGAAAAACATTGAATTGAGGCCATTATGAACATTCAGGTGGAGAGTCCACAGTTACGGAAGACGACTACAGCGGCCCGCTCCAAGAGCTTCAGCAACCACAGACCACTAGACCCTGAGGTCATAGGCCAGGTGGAGCACAGCTCACAGGTGCGCCTCTCATTTCACACCTACTTACTCCCTGGCCTGTAACTTTGCAACTGTGTTGACTTTATACGTGCCTCCTGTGTTGCAGGACATTGAGGCCACCATGAGCTCTACCCTGAGTGAGCTGAGTAAGCTGGAAAGACAGGGCACCCCGAAGCATACGCACACCCCCGACGTGGTGCTGGACACACTGGAGCAGCTGAAAGGTGTTGGTGGTGGAGGAGGAGGAGCCTCGGAGCCTTCCAGTCCTCTCCACTCCCGTCTGCTGCGGGACAGCGAGGGGGGCTCCTCGCACGGCCATCCACTTCAGCGCAGTGCCTCCTCAGCCAGCGACGTGCCCTCCTCTTTCCGCCCCGCCAAGAGCCAGCCGCGGAGCCCCCTGCCCTCTGCCACGTCCCCCTCTCTGTCCTCCTCCTCCCTCTCCTCGTCTGTACCTTCCTTTAGAGAGCTGCGCCCCCCAGCAACAAGGCCCAAGCCCGTTGTGTTCCCAAAGAGTGGAGGAGGCAGCAGCAGTCCGGCGATGGGCTCCCCGACCTCCACCGTCCCCCCTACGCCTCCTCCTCCCCCTGCAGGCCACACACACTCTCTCCCCCACACCCCTCCTCCCCCTCCTCCACCCCAGTCTAATGACAAATCCTGCCCAGCTTAGGTCACCTCAGACTGAATACTGATTCTTACAAACTCTTAGATTCTTACAGCTCTTCTACCAGGTGCCAAAAGCACTTCATTCATTTTCACACAGTCCCCTAACCCACTACTCACGTGTAGCATTCACTTGTTGGTGTCCGCGCCACTTCTGTCAAGAGTTTTTTCTGCTCTCTCCTGGCAGCTCTCGTTTACTATCACGGACCCTTCAAAGACACTTCTTTTTCTTGCCACCACAGAGATTCCAGAGGTCGCTGGATTTTGAAAATCTTTGACGAGGGAACAGGACTTAAGGTGGACACCTACAGATTTACAGCACCTGGAGCTTACTACACTTGTTTGTGACATATGAATTTGTGTTTGAGTGGGCGTGAGTGTTACTTGCCTTTACACACACATCTACGTGAGGAACTGAGAAAAAAAAAAAAAAAAAAGAAGCACTGTTTGATTTTGTATAGTAGACATGACAGGAATTTAGTTTTTGTTTTTTCCTTCTTCTTTTTAATGACCCCATGACTAGCAGACTGGATGGGAGTGTTTGATTTCTTTGAATAGACTGTGAAATGCTAAGCTCTCACTCTGTGTAGAAATGAAACACACTGACTTGCTGCTTCAGAAGTGGAAGACTGGAGTTAAAAGGTGGACTTGTGGGGATGATGAGAGGAATGAAAACTGGGCCAAATATCAGTGTAAGTCATGTGATCAAGAGCTTTACTTTATCTCTTCCTCCAGTGTTTGATATGTTTGTGATTATTTTTTAAATTGCTGTTTAGTACTAGTACCACAACAGGAGCATAACATAACATAAAGCTAACATGGCCAACAGTAATCCTAAATCCATTTATAGCAATAAAAATAATGAAAGCTGATAATTCGTGGCATTATGCTGCTTTTCTCCTGCAGCTCTGTTACGTTTGTAGGGGACCACTGAAACCCAGCATTTTTGTATTTAATGTTGGACTGTACACCAACACACGTGCACATTTTCCCCAAATGTGCATGTGGTGGTGTTTTGTGGCAGCTAAACGCCTTTCAGGTTTTCTTTGCATGCTGGGGCCATAGACAGCAGCCACAATAGCAAGCTGGCTGATTGCAGTACCAGCTATGAGACAACTTCAAAAAAAAGTCCCATCTTGCTCCTTTTTGACTATATACTTCAGACTTAACAGTTAAAACAACAACAAAAAAAACAAAGCAAAAAAAAAACAAGGGTTTCATTATTCTAATAGTGTGTATGTATATTTAATAATCATGATGATAACTGGAAGCATGGAGCTGAGGATCCTCCTGAGTGTGTTTAGATAAAAGCACAACCAACCACCTCATCTGATGCGTTCTTAAGCAAAGTTTTCTTTATGTTCTTTTTTAAATGTTTTGTTTCTCCCAGTTGACGCTCAGAAAATATTTTTGAGGGTAGAACGTGTAGCCGTCTGGAGGTATGCATGTGTGTGCGCCTGTGTGAGCATGCATGGATAAACAGCATGTATGCACCTCACCCAACCCCTTTCTACTCATCATAAATGGAAATCACTTATCCCACAATCTGGAGAACTAGCAGCCTTAGTGCTGGGAGAGAAAAAAAATGCACTCTATACATGTGAGCAGGTAAAAAGCCTGCGGGGATACCTGAAATGTCTTCAGTCACTGTTGTAACATCAGTGGCAGGCCAGCTTTAAGTAGAAAGAAAACCCAAATCTAATCTTTGTTTGATATTATTTGCTATTTCCAAAATTAGATCTGGTGGTAAAATAAGGAATATGTGAATAATGTTGCAAACACTGACTTAAGAACATGCCATTCAGGGTCAACTTAATAAAGCCTTTTTTTTTTGGTCGTATTTTTCGAGAAAATACTGAACTCACTTTACCCAGGTATCCTATCACGCCTTTGCCCTTTCTCCACAACCCCTTCCTCCCCCCCCAAAAAAAAATAAAACAGCACATACTGCATTCCTGTATGCTCTCTTCCAGGTAATGAATCGTTATTGTTAAGGGTTTTTTTTTTTTATTAATCTCTGTATACTGTTTGTGTATTACCTGGTGTATTTGTGTTGCTCTTACCTCATCGTGACAACTGGAGGGACTGTGTGTGTGTGTGTGCGCGCGTGTTTGTGGTGCAGAAACATGAACTACTCGCCTCATCAACACACACGCTCTCACACACACACATACACATACAGACATGCATGTGGGTGGTTGGTGTGTTTTGTCCCGGTCGTGCTGTCGAGGGGAGCTGGGACCCTCTTCGATCTCGAATCAATCATCGTGCACTTGAACAACTTGGCTTGCATGTGGACTAACTGTGTGGGGATGATATGTTGGAGTTGAATATTGTTAAATATGCATTTTTGTGTCCAATTGAAAACAGCAGAACTAAAAAAAAAACAACAAAAAAAACAAGACTGTAATGTCAAATCTATTTATAGTTGTCTCTGTATTACTGGAGAATCCTGTGTTCAGATGTACTTTGTATATACAATGTTGTACATTACAGAGGTACACTCTTTTTTTGGTACAATATTGTACAGTAATAGCAATAGTAGTTTAATCAAATAGGCCTTATATAATTCTATGTGTAGTTCTTGTAGTTCTGTTTTTTAATAAACATTGCTTGCTATAAAGATTCTTGAGTTGTTTGTGGCAATGAATTGAAAACATTACACTTCCAGCAAATTATGAATGAAATACAGATATCAGACTATTTCAAAATCTGTGTTTGTCTAAGGTGCAGTCCGTTTATTACATTTGATTGTGAAGCATTACTTAAAGACACAAATGACATAAAGATATAGATTAAGTGGAAATTAAGGGGTTTCATTAACCAAAACTTTACGGTGAACCACTAAAGCTGTGCAACCAGAAGAAGGAAGGATATCTAACAAACCTCAAACAAAGCCGTACTCCGCTACATGGGCAGATTACTAAACGGGCCTAGGAAGTGCAGTATGGTGCGTTTTTTTAAAGAAAGTTTCTCTTATTCAAGTGCTTGACACAACAGGAGACAAAAAAAAATCCCTACACAGTCACAATGGTTCCCCACTGCTCCCTAACAAACATGGAGGCAAACAATGCTGGAATTTAAACACATAAAAATCTGCTGATGAGGAAGAAGAAAATGTAGTCACACTTGTTTGACCTCAAGAATTCCCTCCAGGAGTTTCCATGTAAAAAAAATACTTTGGTTTGTTTACAAGAAAACTCCATAGGCCACCTTTCAAAAAAAAAAAAAGTGTCTGTCACTGTGACTGAACTCAGTGCTCTCAAATCTAACTTAACTGTTGTTTGTTAGTCGGCAAACTTTTTTTCAAGTATGTTTTAATTGAGGCTACAGCAAAAGAATATTCTCATTGTGAAGTGATTAGTTGATTATTTTCTTGATTAATCAATTCGTAATTTGGGCAATAAAATACCAGGAAATCCTGAAAAATATTGGTCAGTGCTTCCGAAATAGAAAGTCTATAACGTCTTGACATAGATACATAGAGTACTTCACTGATTACTACAAATTCACAACCATCGTGGGCCATCGACATGTAGCCCAAAATTTGTGACAAAGCAGGCCGTCCACACAACAGATACGCCCATACATTTTAATCATATTTTGTACTGTATTTATCTGTATATCTGCACATAGCTGCATACATCCTGTTAGGTTGCACAATTTTTTTCTTTGTTTGATATAAGGGGCACTGCAACCATGTGTGCATACTGGCATGGCCCTGTACTAGGTAGTCAGCTCATCAGTCTGCGCAAATGGATGTGGAAAGCATGACTTGGCTTTAAAATGATGCTAAACTATACAATAGCAAGATATAGTAATAAATATATAATAAAAATATAATACAATAAAAAATAAATTGTTCTTTTATTGAGTCTGTTTGATCTTTTTGCTTGGTGGCCTGGTTAGGTCAGACTTCTGTTACAGAGAAAAACTCACTGAACCAAAGAGTGAGATGGTCCACTCGCCTGACTGCTGAGTCACAGTCTTGTCCAGCCTCCCTGCACACTAAACAGACACAGAGGATGGCTTTATCCATCCTTAATGATGACTCCCATCCTCTACGAAGTGAATTTCAGCGTCTTCCGTCTGGACGGAGGTTTTTAGTCCCAAGGTGCAGAACACAGCGTTATAAAAACAGATTTGTTCCTGTTGCAACTCAATAAGAACATTTGCACTTTATTTTATTCTGCCTATTTTATGTCTTAGCTCTATCTATCATTGTGACTTTTAAATTAAATTACATTTTACATTCTTATACTGTTTTTTATCCCAGAGATTGCTTTTATTTCCCCAAATTTTTTATTCTTTTATTGTGTTTTATTTTTATTTATCTTGATAATATCGATTTTATCTTACCTTTTACTTCCTTGCTGTTATATTGATGAATGGCGGAATACTGAGCACTTTCTTGTCTTGTCTTTGTCTTGTCTTGTCACTTGATCAAGAACCTGTCAGGTTGTCAGGTTCAATTTGTATTTTGTTAAGAAATGCCAAATGCTATCATTTGTTTTCTGCAAAACAAATGAAGCGTTCATTTGCAAAAACAGATAACTTCATTTTTGTAGATTTTCAGAACACTTACCTTTTTGTTTCTTGCTTGAGGTAACATCAAACTGAAGTTGAGTGGATTTGACTCAGTGAAAAAATGACATGACAAAAAAAAGAGATAACTGAAGTTTGATTGATATTGCCTCACGTAGATGATGGAAAAGTGGGTTTTCTGAAGGTTTGTGAAGATGCAGTTATTTGTTTTGGCAAATGAACTCTTAAAATCTACCCACAGGTATTAATAACCCTGAACCTTAAGGATTAACATCCTAGGATTCCAACTTTAAAAAAAAACAAAAAACAAAAAAAAAACCAATTAAAGATGGCGACTGATGTAATAAATGACAACTGATGGATTCACTGTTGCAGCTCTAACATGAATAGCAGGATGCAAACTCCTCCATAGTTTCCTTTTAACCAGGCGGTTCCCAACAGGGCTCAAAAGAAGTCTGTAATTTTTTTAAATATAATACTTATTTTTTTTAAAGGAAAAACTTTTTTTTTTTCAAGTGTATGGGATCTCCCCTCTGCTCAGTGTACTTTCACAGTCACGTACAGTCTGAAGGCTATTTCAGGCGAGTTTCCGTCATCAGGGAGAGTCCGCCCCGTGTGAAGCCGCACTTCCTACATCAGACACCGCAGTGTGATGAAGCTGCCGCCGCTCAGAAAACCAGCTGTTTGGGTCCAGAACCTCAGGATTTCACTGTCCCTATTCAACAGCAGGTCCTCTAATAAGAGTCTGACCTGTCCAGGAAGTAGCCATTCCTCAGGTATGCAGCTGTTTGTCTTTACTGAAGAAGTTTATTGCGCACACGGTTTAGTTTACGGTAAAAACACGGAGCTGACAGAAGTTAATGTTTTTTACGGTTGACGTGATTTAGCTTCCGTAGCTTTAAAGTTATGTACAGCTAAGCTAACGTTACCGCTAATGAGTAAAAAGAGCTCACTAAATTAGTTGTTAACTGACAGTAAGTAGCTAACTACCAACATAAATTGTGTTTAAATGAGAAGTCAGCGTCGTGATGTTAGCTAGCTGGTTTACAGCTCAAGAAACAGCATAATTAGCATAATGTTATAATTTGTAAAGGAGTTTAGTTTATCAAACTATGAGCTACTTCTCTTAGCTAACGTCAGCTAGCATGTATTTATTTGTTTTGGCGTTTGCCAGGAATTGGCTTGTTGCTATTTCCTGAAGAGTTCACAGGGTTTGTCTCTGCTTTGCTGTTCTCATGCCTCTTTTCCCTGCAGTATGTCGGGGCTGACAGCCAGCACAACAACCTACCTGTGGTCCCTGCAGGATGTCCTGGGTCAGGGGGCCACTGCCAGCGTCTACAAGGCTCGGAATAAGGTAACCGCACTCAGTATGCACCTGTCTTCATAGCATCTACATAAATCAATTTCTAATCCAAATCACCAGGTGTAATAAAGCGATAAGAGCATCCTGCAATTTATAGCAGCAATCTGACCCAAAGTCGTTTTTTTGGTATTTAATTATGTTTACTTCTTATTCATTATTACTTCATTTAATTTAGTGTATATGCTGCTGCTCTGCCGTGATTGCCTTATTTCAATGTCAGAGATTGTCTTCAGGAAGGTCCTATTATTTATGTATGTTGTAACTTGACACAGTCACAGCTTTTGTGATATTTCTCTGTTCCGTTGTTCTGGGCCAAACAAAAATTGTTGAAGGCAATTTGTATTTTTAAGTTCTCGTCCTGGTGGTGCCGTTTCTCCTTTAGTATGTCTCTTTTTGATATTTAATCTAAAACTACCTGTATTAATCACTGTTCCAAACAGCTTAGCTCCATATCAGTACATCTGCCATTTAAAATACACACCTTGAGTGTGTTGTTATTACTTCATTTAACTAAACATAGTCTTGGTCCTGCTCCTCAGTCATACATGTCCAATCTATATCAATCTCAGAGATTGTTTACAGAAAGATCCTTTTATAATATTATGATTTTATTAATATTATTTTTTAACTTAACACAGTCACAGGTTTTGCAATATTTCTAAGTTCTGTTGTTGTCTGCCAAATAAAAAAATGTTGGAAGCAATTCGTATCTTTATTATTTAGTTTGTCTCAAACTACCTGTATTGATCACTGTCCCCAACAGCTTATCCATATACATCTGCAATTTAAAATACACACTGTGCATCACATCTGACCCAAGGTGTATTGTTTTTATTATTGCAATACTTCATTTAACTTAACATAGTCTAAATCCTGCTCCTCAGCCATGCATGTCAAACCTATTTCAATGTCAGTGATTGTTTACAGAATTATCTATCTATCTATCTATCTATCTATCTATCTATCTATCTATCTATCTATCTATCTATCTATCTATCTATCTATCTATCTATCAACTTAACACAATCTTAGCTCTTGTACTAACTAAGTTCTGTTTTTCTATAACAATTAAAAATGTTGGAAGAAATCTATATGTTTGTGTTCTCATTCTGGTGGCATAGTGATGTAATGGTCAGCACTGTTGTCTGACAAAAAATCTGAAGATTGAATCTTCTATGTGGAGGTTGTGTCTTCCTCCTGTGCCTGCGTGGGTTTTCTCCAGTTGCTGTCACTTCCTCTCAGTCCACAGACAAAAAATGAGCGTCTATGTTTTTCTTTCTCTGTGTTAGCTCTGTGATGGACTTGCAGCATCTATCTAATGTCTGAGCCAGTGTCTCATGTGGTAATGATCTATTGTCTGTTTTTAATCTATTACTTCAACTGAAGCTCAATTTTGAATTATATTGCATATCAAATTGCAGTATCTGTCTTAAAAATCGCACTTAGATATTTTCCTGAAGTCATTCAATCCTTGCTGCCGTCATCTCAGGTCTTTCAACCTACTTTTTGGCTCCGAGGCGACGTCAGGATGTGAGATAGAAAAGGCTGTGGTTACAGTGATGTGGGCTGCTGCTGACGTTCTCACCTGATGCTGTGATCTACTTTGCTGACGTAAAGTGTTTATGTTTGACTCTGTGTGTGTGTGTGTGTGCAGAAGTCGGGTGAACTTGTAGCCGTCAAGGTGTTCAACATGGTGAGCTACAACCGCCCACATGAGGTCCAGATGAGAGAGTTTGAGATGCTGAGAAAGCTTAACCACAGCAATATTGTCAGGCTGTTCACTGTGGAGGAGGTAAGGCTATGAAGAGGGGAGAAAAGACAACAATAAGGGCATATGTAAACCACAGATGTGTTGATAAATGGAGATAATTCATTCAACGTCTTTATCAAATGCCATTTCAATCCATAGTCTTACACTGATGAATACTGGAATCAGATGAAGATACTCAAAAACCAAGTCTCCAGTTTAATCCAACAACAATCTGTCTTATCATTCTCTTGCCAGCTGCCCTCCAAACAGAAGGTGCTGGTGATGGAGTATTGTTCAGGAGGAAGTTTGCTCAGCCTGCTGGAGGAGCCAGAAAACGCCTTTGGTCTGCCTGAAACAGAGTTCCTCACTGTATTACAGTGTGTAGGTGGGTGTGTGTATATATATATATGTATGTGATATTGTTCTATATTTTCATGTGTATGTTTCTGAAGTTTTCCCTGTCTGTTGTCTTCAGTGCAGGGTATGAACCACCTGCGGGAAAATGGTGTGGTACACCGGGACATTAAGCCAGGAAACATCATGCGGCAGGTCGGGGAGGACGGCAAGTCTGTCTACAAGCTGACAGACTTTGGAGCAGCAAGAGAGTTAGACGATGATGAAAAGTTTGTATCCATTTATGGAACTGAAGAGTATCTGGTAAGATAACAGCAGTATGAATAAACTTAGTAAGCCTTACAAATACTAATAGATGCACATATTTTTTCCGAACATCTGGTATCTCCTGTAGTTGAAATAACAGTATTTTGCCCATTGTTACAATGCTTGTCCATTGACAGATACAGATATGTAGGACAGTGCTGCCCGTTTATTATCATACCCTAGGTCCAGGATGGAATTATGACTATATCTGGGATATTCCAAAAGGCGGGCTTCAAGATGACCCCATCATTAAAAGTTATTTCCTTTAATTAGAGGGTATACGGAGGAGCAGGTAATTGACAAACAAACAAACACATTGCCTTCCACGGCTGGTGTGATCATCTGCCACGCATAACGGACGCTCGGCCTGTGAGCCTTAATGATAGGCCGACCATAACTTTAAACAGGCAGAAGTTATTCCTGGAATCAATTTCAGGGAATTTTGTTGTGACAAAAACTGGGATTATGACATTATTCTATGACAATGAACGGGCTGTTTTACTATAGGTTATATAGGAAATGATCCAGGACTTTGATATTTTATGATTATAAACAAGATATTCTATAAAGCAGTATGACATTAAGTGGGCAGAACTGTACAATGCTTTTCAAACTTACACATTTACTGGGCAAAAGAAAAAGAAAACTACCTCCACTTGCATGTAAAACATCCATCCATCCATCCACTATCTATACACCGCTTAATCCTCACTAGAGTCGCGGGGGGGCTGGAGTCTATCTCAGCTGACTTAGGGCAAAGGCAGGGGACACCCTGGACAGGTCACCAGTGCATGTAAAACATGCCATATTTATTTTTCTGCAACATTTTCATCTTAGTTGTCTATCAGGCCTTATTTTGCTTCAATGTCAGTATTTCATTTTAAAGCCTTTATCTGCAGCTACGAACAACATGCTGATATCATTGCGCATTTCTCATTTAGGAATATGCAGTCAAAAATGACTTTTTTGATTAAAGTGCCTTTGAGAAAGTAGACAAGTGGATACCTCTGCCAAGGCTACAACATGCTACAAACAAATGTTTCCAGAGCCATGCACATATAGCATGTACAGAGTACAGGAAAAATTGATTACACATTATTAGATTAGTAGTGAAAAGGTGAACTGGCTAAAATTAAAGAATTTTCTTCGGCATCTCACCAAATTTCTTTGAAGTCTGTAAACTTCTTTTTGATATATTTTGCTACCTAAACAGGACACATGTCAAAAACACATAAACTATGTATTAAAAGTATTCAAAAACAGGAGATGCTCCCCAGAAGAGGTATAGGCACCTCTTTCCTTAGTAGCTGTGTTTCTGAGATTTTTCTCAAACCTGCAGTGCACTCAGAGTTGTCTTACACCATCTTTTCAGGTTCAGGTTAGCCTGCAGGCAGTCCTAGCATAGACCGCTGCATTCATTGTCCATTACTGCTGCAGTAAAGAACATTTATGATATGACTTCATCAACAGAAAGTCCTTTACTGCCTCAGTGATGGGGGCATTACTGAGAAACTGCATTATAACCTCATGCCTTGGATAAATAAAGACATCCAAGCAAGGGGAAATGAGATGTGATAATAACAACATTGTGTCAGTACACAATATTGTCAGTATGATTTATTGATAAGATTGTGCATTTGGTAACGTCTCCTTTTTCTATCAATATAAGTTCCCTAGGCTTGTCACAGAAACGATAATACCTTTCACTGTTATATGAATAACACGTTCTTAAGAAAAGAGCAGTATCTGTTTTGAATGTCAAGGGTGCAATAAATGCGGCCAATTTATTTCAACAGATTTAACTGCCTCCTTTTATACTCGGGTTGTGTGCTTGTAGATTTCTCTGCACAAAATAATTTTACTTTGCCCAACTTCCTATTGGGGACGGTTCACCCTCTAAACTGAGATCTGAATGTTATATGTTATTAGTTGTTTGTTAATAATGCCACCACTGCATGTAAGTCCACTCTGGACTGATGTGAAAATCCTGTGTTACCAGGTTCAGGTTCACAGTGAAGTCAACCGGACAGTGTTGCATCGACAGTAAAAAGAAAAAGCCTATAAAAGGCCAAATGTTACGATTTAAAAGCACCTTCCATTGTGAGGACTGGGTGTCCCTCTAGTGGCCAAATGAGTAAATATACCATGTATAAGAGCACAGATTTTACATAGAAATGCTGTATACACACAATAGATTGACAGCCCAGTAAACATTGGTTTATGTGATGCACAGTGACTGTATATGAATGGAACAGTACAGATAATCTCAACCCATATCAAGATATTAATGTGACATATTGTGTTTTCTCTTCTTGCTGTGTTTGGCTGTTAATGTGTTTAGCATCCAGACATGTATGAGCGTGCTGTGCTGCGTAAGCCTCATCAGAAATCCTATGGAGTGAGTGTTGACCTGTGGAGTATTGGTGTAACCTTATACCATGCTGCCACAGGGAGTCTTCCCTTCACACCGTATGAAGGACCCCGCAGGAACAAACCCACCATGTAAGGTCATGTGTTTGGTGTCAAAAAAGTAAATCGCAGACAATTCATTTCCAACAGCAAAGACTCCACAACTTAAACAATAAGTTAAAATGTCATGTCAAAGTCTTTATAGGCAAGTCTCGCCACTCAGCAAGCATCTTGGTAATGCCCCTGGACAGTTATTTTCGACCCAAGCAAGACCAAACCTCTGTCTAAATGAATGGGGAGAGAGCGAGAGAGTGCACTCACTGCTATTTTACTCATCACCACAACATAGAAACTGTATGTCTTAAATAACCAGTCAAACCTGATATAAAAGCGCTAAAAAACAACGACTTTGCCCCAAAATAAGGTTTATGAGTAGTGATGCACAATATTAAAATTTCTGGCCAATGCCAATATCCGATATTAAGATTTCTGATATCACCAATAACCGATGTTATCGATGTCGATATTTGTTTTTTGTTCACACCGAAACATGAGTATAAGTAAACACTGTGAGAACGTGAAAGCTGTTCAAAAGAAGCCCATACCAAATTAGACCATATAGTCTTCTTTATTACATAACAAGAAAACATATATAAAAATATTTCAACATATTTAACGTTAAAGTCCAGGACCATTTAGCAAAAACATCTGTGAATTAGCAGCAATATCAAATGTTGAGACGAAGGTGCTAATGTTAGACAAACATCGGTTAAATTTGTTCATCAGACTAATACGGATATATCGGAAATAACACTAATATCGGCAAATACCGATGTGGTCGCTGATATTTCATGCATCCCTATTTAAAAGGCAATTTCTTTCACTGTTATACTTCGAGTGCTTATGTGCACAGTTTAACAGCATCACCCTTGAATCAGTGCAACAACACAATTGACTGGATGTTCGCCAAAAAGCAGACTATTGTTTTTTTCATAGGAGGGCTGGGACAAGTATCATGCAACCACCATCTTTGACATATTGGAATTCTCTTTTAGATTTCTAGTCAGGATTCTTTCAGTGCTGAGTTTCTGCTTTATCATGTCTTTTCTGATATTTAGTTTAGCCTCAAACTACCAGTATTAATCACTGTCCCCAACAGCTTAGGGTCTTTATCAGTGAGTCTTCTCTTTGGATTGGCAGGACATGCTGCGTTTTGTTTCATCAGCCTGACGTGTGTGTTTTGTTGTGTAGGTACAAAATAACCACAGGGAAACCTATGGGAGCAATAGCTGGCGTCCAGCGGGTGGAGGGTGGACCTATAGAGTGGAGCTACCACCTACCTCACAGCTGTCAGCTGTCACAGTATGTTACCTAATGGAAAATGTTGAATCACATATCTGTGATTCTTCACTGAGAACATCTGATTGTCTCCATCTACCTTTTGCTTTTCCCTCTGTCCCTCCTGTTTTTTTCTTTCTTTTTTCTGTCTAGGGGTCTGAGGGTGCAGCTGGTTCCAGTGCTAGCAGGGATACTGGAGGCTGACCAGGAGAGGTGTTGGGGTTTCGACCAGTTCTTCACAGCCACCACGGATGTATTACAGCGGCAGCCAGTTCATCTCTTCTCTCTGCAGCAGGCCATGCCACACAGTATCTACATACAGCACTACAACACGTACGTCTGCATGGGTCTATCATCAAACACATTAGTCTGATCAAACTTAAATGAAGCAGTGTAAAGACTACAGATTTGTATAAATTGTAACAGAATTGTAATCAAAAGCATTGTTTCTGAATCATGAGACATTTTCAGATTTATTGTAAAGCGTATAACTAAAAGCAGGAGGATGTCACAGTGTGATCACTTCCCATGTATTATTTTTTCTTTCAAACTGGGGCTCTTAACTGCAGAATTTTACCCATATTTGTAGTGATATAGGAGATATAATAAGGTTGTTGCCACAACATGTAAGGGGAGAAAATGACCATTCAGAATTTAAATATCCTTGCCCTGATTATTTTCTTTGCTTTGCGTAATGGTAAGAGTGGAAGAAGATGTACAACAAACTGGATACATGTAAATTAAGCAGCGCAAGGAAATGGGATGTGGACATTTTTAGAAAAGTTTACATTAATTATTGACCACAAGACTTATTCAACTAATGAATCCCCCAACTCTTGCTATAATTCATGCCAGAAATGTGCAGCAATTGCAGCATAATGGGAAGTAATGTGTGTAATACATTTAATGTGATATTGCGAGTAGAGTCTGTGCTGAGCTCTAGATTATATCTATAATCCCAAATTGCTTGTATGAAGACTTTTCCTCTCAGTTAATTGAATCCCTGCAGCAGAACTCAGAAAGTATGTGTTGCAAGCTTCTAATTTGAGGAAAATGAGTTTGTGTAAGCTGAATAAATAAAATATGAATAATTTAGGTAAAATGTACGGTGGGGGGTGCGCAGTAACCCGGCACTGTGACATCCACGACCAGGCTTTATAGTTGCTTGGTTTTTCATTCTTTCTGCTTTTATGTTTCCTGTTTTTATCTCTTCTTATGCTATCATATGACGGGTAAAAAAAAGTCAAATAATAATCTTGAAAAAATTATAGTGCTGAGTCAGCAATTAGTTTTGTAGTTTAGAAACTTCTGCAAATTAGTTTGGATTGTTATTTTGTTTCTGTTTATGCAGCCATGCAAAAACCCCAATTTTTTTTTTTTTTTGTGCACACACAGAAGATCACCTGGGGGACGTTGTGGAGATGTGGTGCATTTGACAAAAGTATACTGTGTTACAATTGCTGATTTTACCTTTAATTAACCTTTTCCAAACAAACTTAAAGGGTACCATCAGATAATCTGTTACTAATAGCAGATAGTAATTTTTACTGACTTTTACCACAGTTACTGTTAGTTATTGTGCACTGATCATTGTTTGTCCATGCATCTTTACACATTTGCAAAAATTGTGTCCCTCGTAATAAATATAAATGCACCTATGCAGAGATTTAAACAAAATGTCAATGACCAGGAGCGCTGACCTCAATCTTAGAATGTAATCAGGAGACAAAATTTCACCTGGAATTTAAAAATGGACAAAAGCACTGTCCCTATTTTCAACCAGCGTGTCAGCCTTCTTTGAGGAGGTGGCGTCTCAGACTGGTATCGGAGTGCAGCAGCAACACCTGATGTATCTGGGTCATGACCTCCCCCTGGAGGGCAACATGAAGGTGGTCAACCTTCCACGTACGTCCCCTTCTCGGCCCCTCATTCTGCTCAGCTATGCACCTGAAGCAAACACCAGCCTGCCCTTCAGAGAACGTAAGACATACTAAGTCGTGTACATTTTTGATATGATTCTGTGAGATTTTGAGCTTCTCTCTTCTTTATCTTTGCTGTTTTGGATATGAACCATATTTCAGTTTAAACCACTCTAGCTGTATTATGAATAAAGGTTGGTTATAAAGGAAGGTGATGGTATTTAAAGTAAAACGTGAGCATGCACATGACTAAATCATATGTTTTGGGGGGTGTGGAATTCTTCTTTGTCTTGTAGCAGAGACTCCCGTCATTCCTTCCAAGTTTGATGTCATGGCAGACTACAGTTTCTCCAAGGTACTGCTGCTTTTCTAATTTTCTGTCCCACCTATGCCTAATGTTTAGTTCATTTCTCATGTGAATTTTGTGGATCATAAAGCTCCAATTTCTTTTCTCCTTTGATCCCCTGTTGTCTCTAGGTGATAGTAGGCGTGGTCCACCAGTATCTGAGGATAGTACAGCTGCTGCACACACACCGAGAGCTGCTGCTGCAGGGATACTACAGCTACATGTGAGACGAACACATGCTAAACTAAAGATAATTTGTTTCCCTACACTGATGTATATAATGACTCAAGGAAATGATCCTCTTCAAACTCTTCTCCCCTCCGTTTGTCCTCCATGGCTCCCTCTATTACACTCTGATTGTTTCTCAGGATGAAGATGCGCAGTGAATGTGGAGAAGCCATGCACAGTATTGCGATGATCACCGTTAGATTGCAGTCCTGCCTCAGTGCAGATCACAGATTTCATACACTGTAAGTTTAACTGCGTACTTTTTGGTATAAACACAGCAAATCCATTGTGCGGCACTTGTAATGTGAATTTTCACCGGTACATGAGAAAGGTTATGGTAAACAATAGCACGATTACTGAGCTGCACTTGTTCCTTGAGGTTCCTTAACCTATTAGGCTCAGTCTTTCGTAAGAATATAGTAGAATCAGACATATGTCATTTATTGACATGAAGTCCAAAACATCACTAACATTCCTGATAATCTCATCTCTAACTTTGTCTTTTTTTCCTCTCATATCTATTTGCTCCTTAGGGGCCCTTACACTTCAGAAAATCAAGGCTTAGCTGATCACAGTCAAAAGCTACAACTGGTGAGTGTCTTCAAAAAGCAACATCAGAGACCAGTTTGACTAATGCGGTTCTTTATAGTGGTGCTGGGAATTTACTTGTGCAAGTTTCTTTTTGTGCTGCTTGTTTTTCAGTATATAATCAGTATTTATACTAATTTTGTAGTTTTTAATGTACACTGAACTACAGCTAATACAAACTAATATGACAGCCATTCAATAAGTCCTTTAAAGTATTTTCTTTTGTTGGAAGTGTTTCAGAGAGGCATTGATTCAACTCTGTGGTCAACTGATATGGGTTTCACAACAGCTGATGCATATTATTTACAGAGCTGGGTGGCCAATATGTAACTCCAATATCATCATGTTGTTTGTTTTTAGCAGCTACAATATGTAACTGTTTAACCACAACACAGCTCCATTTGTCAAGTATAATAATAGTAAGTAAGTCCTCAGTGCAAAGTTTTATGTTTTCTAAAACTAGCACACATTTGCATGCCGTCCCACTCTATCCCCTATGACAAATCTCAGAAGAGTGGAGGCTAGGGACGCCCATGCAATCGTGTTCTGAGCCCCTGTAACTTCGTTTAAGCTGGTTGAAGGCTTGTGAGTCTACAATTTCCAACTAGTGTAATGTAACATGTCTTGCTGAAAGATCAAACTCAACCTTATTATACAGACGGTAAACATTGTATATGTTACTAAGTGGCAAATTAAATATGTTCAGCTTTAAAAAAAAAAAAAAAGAAAGAAATTAAGTGTTACCGTTTGCTGTCAGGTAAAGTTACATCAGAATTGGGAAGCAAGTTTCCTGTTGTTTTACAGCAGCCTCTGAGTATGACAGAAAAGGTTTCCCTACTGCAGATTCTGCACTAATTCTTTTGTTTACCGGCCTCGTGAAATGCAGTGAGTTAGGGCTGAACAATAAATCAATTTCAAATCCAAATCGCAATTCGAAACAGTACAGTCAGCAAATTGCAAACGCTGCAATCACATCTAACCCAGAGTTTGAACTGCTGTGTCAGGGATTTTGCAAATTCATGACGTTGTCCTTGTGTCACAGTCATGCTTTTAATCTCATGTGGTAGCGCTCCCTCAGGTTTTACAGAAAATTAGACACACATTAGAAAATTGTACTGTGAATCAAATTGCTGTCAGAAAAATGGCAATTAGATGTTTTCATTCCGTCCTACCGTAAACTAATCAGCCAGTGCCGATGATCTCAAAATGGCATTTATTCAACCTGATTCATTCATCCATCTATCTCCACTTTGGAAGCTGCAGTTTGTGTTTATGCTCAGTGTGTAGAATAAAAGAATTAATTTTATCTTATTGTTCCTAATAAACTGGGAATTTAGTGTAATTAGAAAATTAGTGAAAGAGTGACAAGAAAAGATAAAACAAGGACTGAAGTATAGTGTAGACTTTGTGAGAAAGGAGACATTAACCAAAGTGCCTGCTTTGAAGGCCACATACGAGGTGTGTCAGAAAAGTTCCAGGACTGGTGTCACAAAAGATATATTTCAAACCCAAACCACAAACTACAAGTTTTCCCCCTAAGATGATCAACCAGCTCGTCTACAAAGAGATCCTGCAGCGTTTGCTTCGTTCAGTGCGCGAGAAGAGGCCAGAGTTGTGGCAGGACAAGTTGTGGCTGCTTCACCATGACAACGCGCCTGCTCACAATGCCCTGAGCATCCCACAGTTCCTGGCTGAGAAGAACATCGCCGTGCTGGAGCAACCTCTTTACTCACCCCACCTGGCTCCTTGTGGTTTTTTTCCTCTTCCCCAAGCTCAAGGGGGTCTTCAAGGGGACCTGTTTTAAAGACATGGACGACATCAAGATGGCTGTGATGACAGAGCTGTGGAGGATCCTGGAAGAATCCTTCCAGGAGTGCATGGCGGTGTGGCAGAGAAGACTGGGAAAGTGTGTTGGACTCCAGAGGGATTACTTCAAAGGGGAAAACTTGTAGTTTGGATTTGACATATATCTTTTGTGACACCAGTCCTGAAACTTTTCTGACACACCTTATGTATCGTATGTGCTTGGGGTAGACATTGACTCCCTACCAGGATTATGAGGTGCTATATTGTATATTGTAGGTGGAAAGTGTGAAGGGTATTTGTTGAAATGTATTCAAATCAGTTTTCACATTGCCTTGGTATTACAGCAAGACTTATACTGATGGAATTGCGAAAGCATTAAATGCAAAGCAAAGAGTGTTTTCTCCTCTGCAGTTTAAAGTGAAAATTGCAACATCATGAGAGACAGGAACTAGACAGAGAGACGACATAGCTGGACTCAGATGCCCTTCATTACAAATGCTGGATATGCTGACTAGTCTAGAGTGCAGGAGTGCAGATTTGTTCTCTGTTCATTTATTGAGTATAAGACTCTCTGGCTGCTGTCTCTACAGGTCCATAAACACCTACCGATATACACAGCTGGCATCCAAGAGTTTCAGAACCAGCTGGACCACCTGCAGATAGAACAGGCCAAGCTGTCAGAGACTCTGGCCAATGACAAGAGGTACTCTGAGGGAGCAGGGATTTAAAGCTTCAGGGCAGGCAAAAGGGATTTTGGTATTTAAACTTGGACCTCTTGTCTCCCACAGCTGTCAGAAGATGGAGATGCTGCTGCAGAAGATAATGGCAATTCATCAGCAGTATCGTAAAGACAGACTGACTGGCAGTATGCACACGTCTCTGATTATATATACCTTGTGTTTGATGTTTGTGTATTGTGTTATTTACCTGAAAAGATTCTAATGTTTACCACAGAGCTGGCGTATAATGACGAGCAAATCCACAAATTTGAGAAGTGAGTATGCAGCTTTCACTAAGGATTTGTGTGACCACGCAGCCGGTGTTCCAGCCTGTGAAGTAGCTGAGCCTCTCCTGTAATCTGCTTGTCAATCTTCCTTGCCAGAATCCACCTGTCATCCTACATTAAGCGAGTGAAATCTCTCTTCCGGGAGGACTACGTGCACAGATACAAAGAGCTTTTAGCCTCAACGAGGAAGTGGAGCAGGTCAGAGAAAGTTCTGAAGGTCTTTGCATGAGGATTATTACCCTGACAACTCTTGAGTAGTAACAAATAATGTTTATTTGGTTTGACAGACATTCATACAGACAAAAGCCTGTGTAAAGATGACTAGCAAATGCCAGCAGGACATTGCTATGAAGCAGTGCATTATGAATCCTCACTTCACTTTTGTTAACATGTCATTTTGCTCCTGCTCCTGTCTTATTTTTACACACTGTGAGCTACTTTTTCACTGAAATATAAAATCCTGCACCTTTATGAAAGTAGAACAACCATGACTAGAAGTACAGAGAACTGCAGTATGACAAAGTTAGAATTCTACAAACCAGAAAAAGAAAAAGTTACATTTCTTTGAGTGACAGCTGAGTCACTAGTGGGACAGTTTTAAGGCATAAATGTGAGCATCGATATCATCCAAAGCACTACATCCTCACCCACCAAATATCCAGGGTAATGAAAATTATGTACATAAAAGAAAATCGAGAAGGTCTTCATTCCTCTTTCTACTTCTTTTGTTTGCAGTGTATTGCTGGAAATGCAGACACGACTACAGGACTTCAGTTCTTTCTCTACAGGCTTGTTGGCAGACTTGGAGATGAGTGAGCAGCGCCAGAATAAGGTGTGTAGCTGCACAGGTCTAATGAAAAGGTCACGCTCCGTACTGATGTCAACGGAGGTTTATTTTTAATTCTTCTCTGTCTGTCCCTTCGGAAACACTGTGTAACTCTGTGAAAACTAGACACAATAAACAAAATGCACATTAAACACAGACATTTGTGGATCTTTCGGTCTTTCTGTTAGCATATTCAGCTGAATAGGCTCGGTACGTTATCATACAATTGCACCAAATAACACACCACAGAAACTTGTATAATATTGTCCATGCAAAATCAAACAACATTATACATGAAATATAAACCAAAATAAAGATAGTTAGCATATGCGCCTCTTAGACCACATGCAGAATGACGATGACTTGCGTTAGGTGTCTCGGTTACATCCCATGTTGATTCTGACCCACAATGCTACCCTCTTGACCTTAGTCATGTGGCCTGATGTATCAAAATAAAAGTCTAATAAAGAGTACCTAACTTTAAACTAAACATACATTTTAAAGTGACCTATTTTTTAACAATCTGTTACCATTTGTACCTTTTTCAACTTATTACATTTTTTACCTCAGTTTTTAATTATGTATAAACAGTAAAAACAATGAATTGACAATCGAACACAAATTAAACACACATCACAACCTGTCTCTCAGACAGTTACAAGGTGCACATTATTAGTTTTAACACCTTCCATCAGGTTTTTCATGTATGAAACAGGGACCTGTAGGATTTCTGTATCAGGCTGATACTATATTTACAGATGTGCAGTCTGACATGCTTGTAGGTTGTAGGTATAAGCTTGCCATTTTTCGTGCTTTGCACACTTATTTCTCCTCCCTTTAATCTATCGGTATGTGATTGTTTTTAAAATTGTTTTTGCTATGGGAAATAATAGGAGATAAAGTATAGGCAGGCTTCATCTTAAGTTCAAAACATCAAATTGTGTTTGTCTTTTTTTTTTTTTTTTTTTAATCACTAAAAGTCACATCAAACAGTCAATTCTGTTTTTCGTTTGTGAAAACTTTTCCGTTTTAATCATAGTGCTCGCATCCTCGTGTGCAAATGTCCCTCCAAAACAAGTCTTCCCCGCCCAACCCTGACATTATTTTGCTGAATCCTGGGCTTAGAACAGCCAAGACAATCGTGATTGGTTTCCAAACAAGCCGGGGCGTTTCCCTCCCACAGCAGAGTGATAGTGCGTGCATTTTCTAGTGCTGACAAAGCGCCGTGGAGATATTAGTGTTAGTGATGTCATGGATCTCAGTGGTGATGTAATGTCTCATCTGTCCTCCTCAGGCGATGGACAGAATCCTTTTCAGTCTGCAGTCCAAGAGGGAAGGACAACAGCCTGGAATTGCACCCAGAGACAAGGACCAGATGGTGTCCAGGTTTGTCTGTTTGTGTGTGTGGTTGTGTAAAATGGAGACAGCTTCCCAATTTACCCTGACAATACATCATGCTTTATTATAGGATGCACCATTTGAAGGAGGAAATGGAGATCTTGGTGAGGGAGCTGCAGTGTAACAACAACGTTATCGAGAGGTCAGTGGAGTGACCCATCTCCTGTCCATAAATCTCACCTTACAAAACTCACACTCAGCTTAATGTTGACTGTGTTTCTTTGGTCCTGCAGTCTGGGAGCAGTGAACCCATCAGCAGCTCTGGAACCGAGTCTGGCCCGACCCTCCACACTGTGATGAAAAAAAAAGAAGACGCAGCATCCGTGGTTGCTAAACTCCCAAATTCACACACACTCTCTCTGACAACCGCCTCATTTGAAGTGCCATTAATAAACAATTTGGCGGATGTGTTTTTTCCAAGGACTGCTATATGAAGAGGAAGCAGCTGAAGACGATCGATAAAATGTGAATCTCAATTTAGAGATAAGATGTACAGAAAGACTAAAGAGGAAAGGCCACCGCGGCGACTGAGTACAGCAGTTCAATACAAACCTCATTAATGCCTTTAAGTGTTATTGTATTTTTAATAGGCTGCCATCGTGATCGACTGTCAGGGTAAAACAGAATGAATGCCAAGTCAGCAGTTGGGCTGTTTTTGTGGTTGTGTTTGTTATTTACCCTACAGAAGAAGCACTGTAGATTTAGGATAACCCTTAATGATACATTTAACCTGACTCAATCTGTAAGTGCATTTCTATTTGTATTGCTGTCCTGGTTGTGAGTCTGGTCTGGGTTTGAATCATATTTGGGATATGATGTGTACAGAGGAACATCAGTAATGGGGTTATTCATTTTACAGCAGTATCAAGGCTTGTGATCATCTTTGTGCATCCAACGTCTCACCATCTCAGTGACAATAGTCTGTTTAGAAACCTGAATAACTCCAGGTGCATCCAGGTAACATGTTCAGGTTTTTTTTTGGTTTTATCCAGGTTTCTGAAATCCAAAACTTGATTTTAATCAGGATACTTGTAAGCTGTCATGTAGCCGGAAATCTACATCTCTTTATGTGTGTTTGATGAAAAGAGGGGTGTGAGTTGTCAAATATGACTTTATTTGTACATTTACTTCAAGTATATCATTAATTCATTGAATGAATACTGATTTATAGCGTGATTAACTATGTGAATCTCCAGGCGAACCGCAGTTTAGTCTGCGGTTTTAAAGTTTGTCTCTGTTCCTGCTGACGTTTCACAGGAATAATAGGTTATTTCTCTGTATTTTATCACGGGATTCCCAGTAAAAGAGAAGACACCCAATCGGGGGAAACTCTGCACTCACCACAGAGTCTGCTGTTATTTACAGAAGTGCACGTAACTATCACAGTTAAGTGACTGTATAGCAAAATAACATTATGAAGTGACATTAACCCGTGTGGGCTCCCCTGAGGGGAAATCCCAGACTTTGTTATGTGTTGTTTATAAAAGGTCAAAGCATGAGGTGATGCATGGGGTCAGAGAATTTGTTTTAATGTTCCTCTTTATATAATTTTTTATTGTCACGTTTTTAGCCTTCTACTCTTCTTGAGAAATAACGTGACCTGACGCCACTGAGTCTATTTTCAGGCTGTAAAGTGAAAGTAAAAAAATCATTTCATGTCCTCGCCTTACAGTTTACAGTGATGAGGAAACATCACGCTCTGGAAATTCTGTAAGGTTATGAATGACTGTGACAATAGTGCTCAAAAAACTGAGCATATAAAACAACTGTTGTGACACTCACAAGCCCACTGAAATAAACTGAAAGTTTTCTATTCAGTCTGTTGGAGTGCTGTGGGTGTTTCCCCGCCCGATTAGGGGGGTGAGCTCAACTGCTTCTGTGGGTTTTTTTTTTTTTTTGCAGCTCATATGACGTGCTTTTGGCAAAGTGGAAAGTTTTTCTTTTATTGCTGTTTCGAGCCTACACAAACAAGTGTGACATTGTGTTCCTCGTTCAACATCAAGGCAATATTCAGTAGATAATCATGGCCCACACTGATGGTCCTGATTCATACCTACACATCAGTTTCATTGTTTGTTATTGAGCTGTGGGATTGTTTTGATAGTGGCACAACAGTTCTGCAACAAAAAGTTTATCTACACTGTAAAAAAAATAAACTTTTTAAATAGTTTTTTCTTGAACAATATCCTGTTATTTTACAAATTTCCCTCATTTTGTTAAATTACTGGGGGGAGGGGAAGTAATAATTTACATTTTACATTCACTAAATTTAAACACCAATTTTACATCATATTCACATCAAAAATCTGTATTTTTACTAATAGTGATATGTTTTATAGTTATTATACATAGACTGTATAAACTTTTATACAGTCTATGCTTTTACCATTTAAATCTGTGAAAAATATAATTGTTTTGCTGATATTTGCTGGCATATTTACTGTTTTACATTACAGTATTCCACTATTTTTAACCCTTTAAGAGCTGGTGTCCACATACATGGACATCACATTTTGGATTATAGTACCACAGTAGTTAATTTAATAATTTTATATAAAATTATTTGATAATTATTATTTTATTGTTATTCATTTTGTTTGTTTTATTTTATATAGTTTTATTTAAAAATGTTTTTCTATATTAAAAAAAAATTCTTTGTATTTTTTATTTTTTTATTCCTCTTTGCAATTTGATCAGATCAAATAGCAAGGAAAATTTTTTTAAAAATGCATCTCAAACAAGGGCTGGGGTCAAAAGAGGTTAAACATATTTTTGCGGCTCACTTGCTGCCAGATTTTCACTGCCTTTACATGATTTTCTTTACAGTGTGTAATAAGTAGACAACGTTATTTTGTCTAAAACAGTCACCAGATGTCAAAAAATGTCTCTTTAGGTATAAATTACCTCATCACTGTTTGTATATTGGCAAATGGAAAACCTAAATCATCATTATTACTGTTAAATCCGACATGTTGCACTAATTAATCCAGTCTGATTGCCCTCAGCAGCTTTTGATCTGTGATTGTGGTTTGCTGCTTGTGCCAGGTTCTTTTCTGTAGTCTACTTTTAGTACCAGGCGGTTTCAGAAGATTATAACTGTGGATTCATCTACAGTAAATGTCTAGTTGCAGTAAAACGGATGACAAATTACAATGGCTCTTCAGAAAGTTTACTGTTGTCATCCGGGGAGGCAGCGGGGTTTCTTAATAATTCATTAAATGATACAAAGTGTGAAGCAGGGATTAGCGGTGCGCGCTCCCGCCGCCGTAGGAGGGGCGCGCTCTCGCCATTTAAAGCTGCCGGGTCCCTGTGCGTCACTACTACACGCGTGACGGGGCCGAGAAGTGAGTTTACATTCAGGGCACGGAGTAGAAACACACTAACACACACTCGGAACACACGCGCACTAACCGGGGAAACGAGATAATGGCGTCTGTGCTGGGGCAGCACCCGGGCCCGCACAGGCTGGAGTCGGAACCGCAGCTGCTGCTCTTCAAACTGTCCGGGAAGAAAATAACGCCGCCGAGGAGGAGAGCGTCCTGGGAGAAGGTGATGTTCGGGAGAAGCCGTGGGGAGTCCGCTGCTGCTGCTGTTGCTGAGGGGGAACCGGGAAATCATCCCTCGTGTCCGGCACCGGCGGGAGGAGAAGCGGCCGCGAGAGGAAGAGTGATGCCCGAGGAAGGATGCGGGGCTCCGGCTGCGCCACGTAGCCCGGACAGAGAGGAGGGCAGCGCGGGCAGCGACGGGGGCACAGCCGGGACACGGGAGAGCCAGACGGGGCGCACGAGCGATGACTGCAACCGGAACATGCACTGTGACTCGGACCGTAACGGCCGGAGTGGGACCTCGCTGAAGAGCACCTATGGACACGAAAGAGCGCACCGGCACCGGGACGCGCCGCACGGGAGAAGGCGCTCTCGGAACGGAGACGGCGGACATCGGGGCATCTCCGCCTCGGTTTCGGTCCCGCTGGAGCGACTCACGCAGGGCAGGACCGGAGTCGTGAAGCTGGCCCGGACGGAGCCTCACCGCAGGGAGGCCTGGTCCATCTTCCCCCAGGGGATGGACCCCCGAGTGAGGACGGAGAGGGGCGAGGGACACCGGTTCGAGGATAAGCCCGTTACGCAGGACTGGTGCGACGCCTGCAGCCGACAGATCACTGCGCAGGCACTCAAGTGTCAAAGTAAGTAGCGCAGTACTGCAAATCACCCTGCTAATTCATCTGTCCTGTGTTTTTATGCAGTGGAAATTCTGATTTACACTCATACTATGTGGTGCCCACTTCATCCAGTCGTGCTTCTGGGTCAGTGGATGTGGGCTATTTTGACTTAAAGCTCCTTGTCCCTGGATTATTTCATGAAGGACACACATAGCCGGGTGGTAAACTCTTCCATACTGGTGCTTGTGTGTGTTTGTACACACACACACACACACACACACACACACACACACACACACACAAATGGTGCATGTGCCTTTTGTGAGTGAGCCAGCATGACAGGGAAGGACGTTTCCAAACATATTTCTCCACAGACCAAATCCTTCCAATGGAAAGCCCATTATCTTGCTCGTCCAGCTTTGCCTCCCAGAGTCTCCTCTGTCTCTCTGTGAATTGCAACCTCAAAGAAAACGGGAAAGATAGTAGAATTCACAGCGGTGGGGTTTGTGAAATCCTGCAACACAAAGGAAATGTCTATTACAGCACAGTTAATGGTGGGGAATGGAATGTATGCAAAGATGTGAGGATGTGTTCAGTGGATGAAAGCTGCATTTATTTGTCACAGATTATATATAAAGGTAATTTGATTGTGCTTTAAATGTGTTTGTGGGTTGTATACTGTGTGAGATCTGCTCAGGCTGGTGACGCCACTCCCACCTGCACATAGAAAGTTTGAGCCAAACCCATTTGACCTGGCAGTCTGTTTAATCCAGCTTGAATATATACATGCACACTTACACTTTATATTGAAGGACATTTGTGTGTGTGGCGGCTTCTGTGTGCACATTCTGCACATGCATGTGTATGTGATGCTGCTGAGCTGGCATTGTGTCAGCAGCACTCTGTCATGAGGAGGCTGCGGCTGCAGGGCAGCATGAGATAAATGAGGCTGGGAAGAAAGGGTAAAAAAGGGACAAAAGCAAGAGGGAAAAAAGTAAAGGATGGCAAGTAGCTGGAAAAAGGGATGCAGGCGGGATGATGAGGATGAGGAAAGACAAAGAGCGAAGAGCAGTTGGGGAGGAAAGAGAGTCGGAGTGAGTGAGGGATGGAGGAAAAGGGCGCAAGTTTGTCCAGCACTGCAGAGCTGTCTGATTTAGTGTGCTATCAGCAAGAGCTCATTGGAGCGAGAGCAGAGATTACTGGAGCTCCATTCACACACAAACCCACAGACACACACACACTCGCAGTTTCTTTACAGCCCGAGAACTTCTCTTAGGTTTTTTTTTTTTTCTCTTTCTTCAGTTGGTCTCTGTGTGGATCAAGTTAATTAGCTTCACTGGAGCAAACTTCTGCTCCCTTTTCTCTCAGAAGACATCAGAGGTGTCTCTGGGGGGGTCGCCATGCAATGCAAATGTAGGCATTTCAAGGTATTTCTGTTGGGGGGAGAAATGCAGCCAAAAACTGCCGAAATAGAAACAGCGCACACGCAGGCCGAGTCTCCTTTCAACTACACCCAGCAAATGACAGGGAGGGAGAGACGGAGGCCTCGCAACCATAAACAACCATCATTCCGTGTCTTTGTCTTGTTGCTTTGCTCTCTCTGCCTTCCTTTAATTTATCTCCCTCCCTCTATCTGCTTTGTTGCATACGAAGCCTATAGAAGCAGTTCTGCAGCGTGTCCCCCGGGACACTTGTGGCCTTGCCCTACACAGGAATCTGTCAATCTGCCCGCAGCTCCCAGCCTCGTAGTCTGCTGCTCTCTTGTTTTATAAGCCTCCAACTCTCTGCTGCTGGCTTTCTTCTGTGTCTGTGGGTTTTTGTTTTCCCTTATTACTCGTCTTGAAAGCTAGATGAGCGTGTGATTTATGGTACAGCCTTCCCACTCAATATACATTAGGATGCTGCACACATATATGAGCCATGTGTGGCATTAGGCCCTAATGGAGCACATAAACAGATCTGATAAGTGCAGCAGTCTGGGCTTTACTGACACTAGTGTCTCATATAAAAAGCTAATTCCTCTTCTATATCCGCTGGTCTCCCATTTGTCTCCAAATGTCACGTCGCTGATTGTTTACCTTTCTTTCATTGTTTGTCGTTTCTCTGTACTTTTTCAGTGGTTGGGGGGGAGGCAGGGAGCGAGGGAGGGGTAATGGCGGCCTCCTTAATCCCAGCTCTGGGTGTCTCCAGCCCAGGATTACATCTCAGGAGTGCAGTCGTTGGGATTACAGACAGACAGAGTCAGACGTCAGATTAATATTTAATTAAAGCTTCCAGGGAACCATGCTGTTGTGGCACCAGTGTCCTGACATACTGGATTTGGTCGTCTCCTCTCTTTAGTCTCTGTCAACCATGTATGACACAGGCCTTGTGCGGTTTAAGCTCTTAACCCCAGAATTTAGCATCAGATGAACAATTAATGATTGAATGTAGTTGTAAGCAGATTTATGTATTAGAACTGTTACTAGTGCTGTAAGGATTTGGAAAATGAATGTAATTATATATGTTACACTGTGTTCTCAGGTTAACCGTTAAAAATCAAGCTATGGATGGTTCAGTTGGTTAGTTATGATTGTTGGCAAAGGCAAAAAAACACTTAAATGTCCTTATATTGAACTAAAGCACACATACCCATGTTTAAGTGTGTTCTAAACCTTTAATTAGTTGTCTTTAAACTGCTTTTAACTGTGAAATAGTGTCTAAAAGGGAATTCAAGCACCCTTCATGCAGGCACTTTTAATTAAAGACTGAACTAATGATGGGTTTTCTTATTAAAAAAATATAATTTTGTTATGATCAATTGATTTAGTCCATAAAATATCTAAAAGAAGTGGGGAAAGTTTTCATTTTTCCTATTTTTTTTCACTTTTTTTGCTCAACCACAATATAATTAGCAGTAATGTAAAACAAATAGAGAATTTTTTACTTGAAAAATGACATTGATTGTTGAAATAGTTGCCAATCTATCGCTCTACTTATTGAATTATCTGGTAACTTGGTGCTATTTCAGATGATCAAGCTTTGCAGAAATTGTTCAAAGCGCCCATGTGTGCATGAATTTCTATTCTCCTCTGTTGGTTTATTATTGGTCCAGCGAATGAGCCTGTACGTCTCTGCTCCTTGTGTCATGAGCTCTGTGCAACAAGGTGAACGCCCGGGAGTTCACAGCTCCTCTGAGAGCGATTTCACAACAAGAAAAAGCATTGACGAACAATATACGTGAGCTAACATTAGCTCATGGTGAATTTGTCTTCCAGGAAGGCCCACATGCGCACACACATGTGCCACAGACCTTCACAGTGACCCTTGTTTCTTTATGCCCCGTGGCATTCCCGATGCCTCTCCAGGGACTGTATTTTTTCCCTCAACACCATCTTTTCCTCATCCCACCTCTTCCCCTGCTTGACACAGTGCAGGCCTTGTCTCGGGAACCTTTTCACATTTGTCAAACCTTCATTCTCGGTGGAAGAAGAAAACATGGGAGGAGGGTTGTATTAAATGGCTCATAACCTTCTCGTCCCGACATACCACTGCTGCCGCTCTGCCAGACCTGCGATGAATATAGTTTGAACTCGACTTCAGCCAAAACATTCCTTTGGCGCTCATATGTCTTCAGCTGAAATCAAAATCGAATCTGAATACAAAGCTGCTTTGAACATTCAAGAGAGCTGCATGCTCTTCAGATGAACACCGCTATTATGCTGGGGGTCTTCAGTATCAGTGAGTGTTTTTGTTTCGTTTTGGTTACACGGAGAGTCTTTGCCCGTCAGGCTGCTGCTTATTATTTGGCCGCGTGATAAAGCTTGGAATATAGGGCATGCAGATAAGGGTTTTGTGTTTTGTTTTTTTGTTTTTTACAGAAAGTCTTGCACGGTGTTTTGTGCTCCCCTCGCTGTGCATCACTGCTCCACTCTGCTGTATGTATGGCAGAACAGTGGGGATTTTCAAGCAGGCTATATTTAGTTTGCCCTTGGTGGATACTGATAGCAGGACTGCAGAGGAAGAGGTGGATAGGGCAGAAAGAGCATGACAAAGACGCTCTTGAGCACGTTACTTCAAGGTGAATTGGGGATTTTGGATTTAAAAAGAGCATTACATCATACCCCACCTACGGTGAGAAAACCGTGACATCAGAGCAGAGCTCCTCTTATGGCATCGCTCGTGATTATGTCACACGCTTGTCAGTGAAACTGGTGAGCACATCCTGTTCCTCCAAACTCTTCAGTTTTAGAAGTAGGCCAGGAGAACTCCCAGTCGCTCAACCTCTTTCTTCTTCACAGTACGTATTAATAACCAACGGCCTGTACATCACCTCAACCCACACATCCAAACACATTGGAGGTGATGCACGTCCTTCACACCGACAGGATATGTCACCGTTTTTTGGGGTTAGACAGTATGACTGACTCACTTCCCATCAAGGCAGAAAAAGGGGGGAGAAGGGAGGAGGTGGTGTCGGTAACCACCTCTGCAGTCGTCTGGGCTCTTTTGTATGAATGAAGTCAAAGAAAAGAGAGAAAGGCTCCTGTTGCTGGAAAGAGAGGAGAGGGAGGCGAAGATAGTGATTGCATTTGGGGGTCTCTGTCTCTTTAAGCTGCCTGTTTGTTGCTGCAGAGTGTGTGGGTGCTGCAGTAGAGGCAGAGAGAGAGGGAGAGAGAAAGAGGGGAGAGAGGAAGAGAGCGAGGATGAGGGAGCTGTGATAACAGAGAAATAGCAGGACGAGAGAGGAGCGAGTAGCGCAGTAGAGATTCAGGGCTCATGTCGGCTCGCTGAGACTGTTCAGGTGTAGAGCAGAGGAGAAAGAGGAAAAAGTCCAGAGGTGAGAGCATTAGGGAGTGTGGCAGGAGTACAGGTGGAGGGGTGGCAGAGCGAGTGGAGAGGGGGCTGTTTATTCGGAGCGTGGCACCGGTGGCAGAGTGGCTGCGCTGGGATGGCAGAGGGGGGCACTGGGGGGGCTGGCGCTGGGGCAGCCCTCAGAGGGACAGGGACGGCCGGCGGCAGGACAGGAGGTCCAGCGATGGCTT